AATTGAAGACAACAAGGGTGGCCGAAACACCTTACCAGTACAGGTTTGCTGGCGGGAGCAACCGCACTGACATCATCTTCAGCTTCCCCCTTTTCCCCATCGAGGCCTCCGAAACCTTTCGTGGCTGCTGTGCGAGGTCTATCCCATTCATTTCTGACATTGGCACCCGCAGAACTCTGATTGATGGAGCCTCCTGCCGTTGATGCTAGCGATCCTCGCTTGGAGAATGCCGATGCACGCCTCGGCTGATATGCAGGAAGGGCTGGTGAAACGTCTCCTCGGCAGTCGTCCACCCATGCAGATCGAACTGCTTTGTTCTTTTTGTACCTGCCAACTGTTGTAATGCTGCCGTCACTTGCGCTGTAACCATTACCTATGCCTACCATGGTCGGCGCCGCATCATCTAATGACAGAGTGCTCATGATACTATTGGTGGGTTTAAAAACCGGCGAAGTAGGCAGCGAGCGGTTGCCAGCGCGCCGCATTCCTGCCTCTCTTGGCTCCCCCCCGTCCTGACTGCGCGGCAGCCAGTCCCCGACAACTTCTTCTTTTCCCATGACTGCAGTAGTTGCATGGCCGGACAAGAGGACCTGCTTCCCTATTGGATCGGGCGCGCTCTTCGTGGACTGTGGCTCTCCTCCACGGCTGACTCCCACCCGATCCTCCTCTGAGGCAACAACAACTGAATCAAGTCTACCAGGCCGAGATATTTCCCCCACAAACAGGTGCGGCGAGCTGGCCCTGGGCTGTTGCTCCCCACGCCGTGCCCATGACCGTGTGCTGATGGGTGAAGTACCGCTCCCGTTACTTCCTGTCGTATCATCTTTCGACATTCCCATGGCCACGTGATTTCGGTCAGCAGGACCGTTCATGGCAATCCCTCGGTGGAATGACTTCGATCGCATCTGGGGCAGCATGTCCGCATCGACAGCAGCAGCAGGCCTCGGAAACAAGGACTCTAACAGTACCTTCTTCGAAACGCGGTTCACAGAGGCGGTGGTGAGGAGGGGAACAGCCAAGAGAGGGGAGAAGTCTTCCTCCCCGCTTCCTTCCCCATGATCAGCAGTTGATGCATCCTTGACCACCGTCGCCAAGGGCGTCAACATCAGGGAACGCCCTGACGGCACTTGCCTTGCCGTTGGCATGTCATCATTACCCGGAGACGCAGCAGGAGCAGCAGTGGCGGCAGCGGCATTGCTAAAGGCAGGAGAAAGATCATCATCCTCATTACCACGATGGTGCAGAGAGACCACCGAGCTTGAAAGCACCAGCTGCGGCGGCGGTGTTCGCCCCATTTTCCCTTCAATGTCCGGAGACATGGAAGAAGAAGACGCCAGCGGAGTGCTGGCGAGATCAACTTGCAATTGGCGACCGTTGTCTGCATCGATAGACGGTCGATAAAAAGAAGCCGCCTTTCCAGGACTGCCCCCCTCCTCTGCTGCCATTGACAACAGGCTCAGCTTTCCGGCGGACTTCCAACTCAAGGGTGCATGCAGGTCATCATCACCTTCCAAGCTGGGCGGGGACACCACCCCCCCTCTCGTCGAAATATCCTGCCTAAGGCAGTCAGCGACGGTACACGTCGGCTCGGCCACCGTCGATATGGAGGACTTCGCAGCAAACAAGGGTGTCAACGGCAACCCCAAGGTCCCTCCGCCCTCAAGTGCCAGCATAGCAGCCACTGGGGGTCCCAACCTCGCACTTACATCCAGCGGCTCCAGGCGACTTGGAGAGGGGGGGATGGCCATGTCACGGTACTGCCGACTTCCTGCTACCACCGGCCTTGAGGACAGTGACTTTGATGAAGACGACAGCGACAAGGATGAAACGTTCCATGGATAGCCAGCTTGCAGCGTATGTGTCGAGCCTGGTTTTTCCTCCTTCACAGCACCAAAATCGCCCCATTGGATTTCGCTCTTTTTTGCAGAATGTGGCGGTGAGCTTAACCTCTCCTGGAGCTGCCACTCAGGTGTCGAGGACTGCTGAGCACTCTTTTCCACTCCATCCATAGCAAGACAATCTGCAACACATCTTGTTGCCATATCCTTGTGCTTGGATCTGCGGCCAAATTTAGGCGTTGATAGCACGGGCACCTCTTGTCCACCTACTACATCATCCTGAACGCTTCCTGCACCAGGGACCGGGGGCAGAAGACCTGCTGCCTCTCCTGCCCTGTCTTCAGCTGGCGAGTAGGGTGTGCGCCCACGCAACTGGCCCGGAGTAAAGGAGCGTGCCGCGCCACTGACCTGGTTCCACGAATCGATATACATCTTGAGAGAACCGAACGACGGAGATGATGCCGGGACCGGATCCTTAAACCTGCACACCAAGGAGCGATGAGCAAAACCCAGGCTGGGAGCAGGAACCGCTGCTTCTCCTACATGCTGCAGGGACCCCGTCAGATTCTCCCGCCCCTTTGCAGGAGAGGAGGGGCCTCGAGACGACTGACCAGACTTCGATGGTGACCTGTGCGGTGATTCGATCCATGGGAGGAGAAATTGCCCGCCCTTGGTACTGTCACTTCCTAGATCGGCCGCACCATCGCTCATGATCTGGGCGACAGATGTGGTTACGTCTTTCAAGCGAGAAACCAGGTCCCTGCGCCCAAAAGAGGGTTTAGCCAACGCTACGATCTCAACCTCATCGCGCTCAAGCTCTTCCTCCCCCTCCTCTTTCTTCTTACAGCTCCCCTTTCCCTCCTGCTTTTGCTGCTGCTGATCATGTACCTCCTCGATTCCCTCTCGTTTTCCTCTGACCTCGCCGTCAGGCTCCTCGGTATGCATTACCGGTGCTGCCAATGTCGTGGATAGGCGTGAGGAGGCATTCATCTGCCCATTGGCGGCCTCATCTCGAGAACGATTGGAAGAAGCAGTCGATCCTTCTTCCACAATGGCAGATCTCATTATCTCGGCCACCGAACACGAGGAATTGCCATAACGACCGGATGGAGACCCTCTCGTGAAATTCGACGGCAACACTGGCGTCATCTTCCTCTCCTGCAACTGACTTGCCGTCATAGGAGGAGGGGGACCTGCATCCTGCCTCCATAGTCGATCGCTCGGCAGACCTGCTGGGGGCAGTGACTCCACATTCACTTTCTCCTTTTCCTTCGCTCTTGCGTTTGCATTGGCCTTCTCATTCACAACTGCACTGGTCTTCCCATCCCTGTTCAAGTTAGTGCTCCCATCCACATTCCCATCCTCTGGAGAGGCCCCTCCGAACAGGTAACCCAGAGAGCTCGGCCCTCCACCATGCGAGCTCCCATGTGTGTTGCCCCTTGTTATCATCCCTCTTTCTCTCTCTCTCTCTCTCTCTCTCTCTCTCTCTCTCTCTCTCTCTCTCTCTCTCTCTCTCTCTCTCTCTCTCTCTCTCGTAGTCTGCTGATCTCTCTCTCTCTCTCTCTCTCTCTCTCTCTCAAGCACGCATGTGTGTGTGTGCGCTTACCTACCTATCTGTCGAGCTGTCACTACCTACCTGCACGCGTGCATGCGTGTGCGCAGTGTGTGTGTGTTGCACATGCAAGGGAATCATATGAAAATATGACAGACTAGTCTCTAATTCCCGCTTCATGAGGGAGCTTCCCAGGAGTTTCGACAGCTGCCACGTGCTTGATTGACCTCACCTTCCTTTTGTTTCTACTTTCCTGATGACGCTTACCTGCATGGTCCTTGCGCGGCCAATCGCATAACCACCGCCTTGATCTGTCATGCACTCCAGGATCACATCAATCAAACAATAGAAATTCATTCATTCCCTCATGGCTACCATCAGTCTTCCAAACAAAATCTCTTTCAAGCCTTAAGCCTTAACTGGCTTTCAAAATTCCTTTTCTGATTCATCCAAGTTCGGGCGACAAAACGCGGCTATCGAGATGCGCGCAGTATGCATCTCTTCACATAACATTGCCTCCAATGAGATCGTGAACAAATCCGATTGTCTGTCTGAGACTTTCTGTCTGGCTCTCACTCGCCCGCCCGCTAGCTGGCTGGCTGACTGACTAGCTGCCTGGATCAGTGAGTGTCTGGCTGGATGCATTGGATTGCCGGCTCGCTAGCTAGCCAGCCATCTTGCTCAACCAAGTGTGCGCACGCAGGCACAAGCCCTAAAAGCACGTGTTTCTGGCATCTCCCGCAGCACACCAGGCACGGACGGACGTTCACATTTGTGCACTCGCTCTAACTAAAAGTGTCTGAAATAGCGCTCATGTGCAGCTGACAGAAAACATCGCATGGCAGAGCTCAATTGCCACGCACGACCGTGCATGCATGCGCTATGCGTCCACATCACATATGACCTGGTGGCACTCTCAAGTTCATCTTCAGTGCTGCTGCACCCTTGAGTGTGTGCCACACCCTCACGTTCAACCCACCCAACACCCGCCCATCGAAAGTTGAAAACCCGCAACACCGGTGCACCTTCCCTCGACCTATATCCAGCCTCTCTCTCCCGCAGCTACGGTTGGCTGGGCTTTAGAACGTCCACTTGAAAAGCCAGTGAGAGTTCCACCTATTACTGGCACTGCATTGGGAGCAAGTTGGGATCCTCACAGCACGACACATCCAGAGAAGAAGGTTGCTACGCAAAATTCCCTTCCACCGGACGACCTTCAACCTGCTTGAAAGGCTGAAATGGAGGATGCCTTCCTCTCCGTGTAAGAACGCAGCGCTCCACCTCCACCGCAGCGACAGACCAGTGATTGGTTAACACGGGGGCGCTTAGGAACGCAGCCCCAAGGGTTTCTGTTTGTTTGTGTTTTTGTAACTTTGGACATTGAGGGTGGTTTGAGTAATGCACAGACATGCTCTCTCTCTCTCTCTCTCTCTCTCTCTCTCTCTCTCTCTCTCTCTCTCTCTCTCTCTCTCTCTCTCTCTCTCTCTCTCTCTTCTCTTCTCTTTGTGAAAAAGGCTATGGGCATTGACACTAAAAGCAAGAAGGGGATGCTCTGAAATGTCTGTTGTCAGTTTCCTGAGCCCAAATGACAGAAGAAACAGAGATGATCACAGGTAACAATGACATGCATAAATCAGTAAATGGTATTTAAAAAAATGCTAAAATAGGACACGCTATGATCCTGTCCATCTTATGTTGCAAAAACCCATATATGAGACACTGGCATTCACCGCAGCTGAAATAGAAAAAAAAATAAAAAAATAGAAGAAGAACGAGTCGAGGACAGTAGATGAATGGCGGGAAGAATAAGAAGTTGAACACAAGTGGGAGCCAATGTCGTCTCCCTCCGCATCATCATCACCTCCACATTTCGTAAATAATTAAATTAATACAAATAACTATGGCTGCATGCTACTTTTTAGTTTTCGTCTTGCAAACCAAACAGATTTTTGCAGTCTAGTCCCAAACGTTTCGGCAGAGTTGTGTGAGCTGTGTCAGTGACCGCGCCGTCCAGGGCCTTCTAGGCGCTGGCCCTTACACTTGCCGCGGTAAAAAAAATCAGAGTCATTCAATCTATCCGATCGAACGGCTGAAATTTTTCAAGCGGCAAGTGAAGACTGACAGGGCCTTCTCAGCCCTGGCCCTCTCCACTTGCCATGCAAAAAATTTCATCAGTTAGATGTGATACATCAGCAGCTACCATGGCAAGTTGCCATGCAAAAAATTTCATCAGTTAGATGTGATACATCGACAGCTACCACGGCAAGTGAAGAGGGCCAGGGCCTAGAAGGCCCTGGAAAAGACAAGCGGGCCAGCCAGTAGTCCCTGGACAAGATTTGGGCCACATTAAGGTCTGCCCTGGCCCCTCGTGCCTGGGCCATGGCTGAAATGTCTCGGCCGTGCCCAATCTGGAATTTTCCAAAACGTACGGGAGTAGACTGCATTTATAACTCAGCCTGCAACTACTGTGTTAACCCCAAAAAATGTATGTACGTTGTATAGCAAAGTTGGTACACCCACGAACTGTTGAAATACAAACCCAAGTTTGAATCCAATGCAATCAGATGGCGAGGATAAAATGATTCGGGGCGGTCAGCTCAACGCTGATACCTCAAGGCCGTTTCCCTTTGAAAGAAAAAGAAAAGAAAAAAAAAACACATCGAATGCAACGTACGTATGCTGCAGATCGAATTTTTGGGCGCAACTTTTCAGGAACCCGGAACCGATACCCATTTGCATTTTTTTTCTGGAATTTGGCTCACGACCCTCAGGTAAAAGTTGCTTGTATTTCAATGTTGTACACCGTTTTTTTCCCCCAGATTTTTTCATCGCAAAAATAAATCGAAATTCTCAGTTCTATAAAAAAGTGAGTACAGCAAATGTCTCTGCTGTAGAAGAATCTATTCTTTTTTTCAGCTTTTTCTGGATTTTGGATGCGAATTTTGACAAGATCCTCAGGCTAAAGTTGTTTGCATTGCAATGCTGCACGGCATATTTTCTCTGGATGTTTTCGAAGCTTTTTGAAAATTTGAAATTCTGCAAAAATCAGGTAGAAGTGTCTCCGACATCGGATACCTCGGATACAACATACGTATCTTGTATTGGAGAGTACATTCTATTATTAAAAAAAAGACGCAGTGATTTCTCAGAAGCCATTTTCCGAAGGTAACTCGAATAGAATGTAGTAATGTACGTATGTTTTTTTTCGGATTAACAACTTAACACAGTAGACTTCAAAAACCTGTTTGGATTGAAAATCGGCACTTGGGTTTTGCAGCGTTTTGATTGAAAATTGAAACTTGTTTGTTTTCCAAGGCCGTAGTTGCCCCGAATAAATATCCACTCTGTTGCAGCTTCGCTTGCAAGAAAAACAGGATGGAGTACTGATGACCTTTTTTTGCTTCTTTCATCGCAGTATGTCCTTCGCCTCTTGTTTGCGGACAGCGCCTTGATATGCCCTACAGGGCCTATTTTCCACACAGTCAGCTGCCCTAAGTGAAGGCAGGCACGACCGAGGCCTACAGGCCATTTTGGGGTCACCACGCAACTGGGGAAATTCAGGCAATTGCGCAGCGCCAGTTGGTTGGAAGCGCCCAGGCCCAGGCTGCCTTTCATTGCATGTAACTGAGGCAGGCCCTAGGCCGGATACACAAAGTGGACCGAAGAAAGGCTGAGGGCAGTTGAGTGCTGGTAACCACCACAGGACCTGGGCCTGTTTACTTCGGACTGACGCTCAGCCTCGTGGGGCCTACCGGAAGATTCTGGGCCAGGGCCCAGTACCGCATTACCGCACGCAGCAGCAGGCCACTTCAATATAGAGAAGAGCCTGCCTACACATTGGGCATTCGGGCACTGGCTGCATGCTGCGCTAACGTTGGCCAGGCTCACGCGCTCACGGGCGAGCTGAAAGGAGCAGGCAGCCATAGCCGAGCTGCGCTGCTGTATGCTGGATGGGGCGCATGGTGGTTCTTGGGTGCATGTGGCATCTGTGAGTTGGGGAACGAGGTAGTGAGTGATACGAGAGATATACCTGGTGCTTGAAGCGTACGGCAATGGCCGAGATCTGCTCGTACTTCGGGGAGCTGTTGACGTCATCAGCGGCATCGTAGAGTAGGCTAGATAGTATCTGCCATCTGTAGTCTGGGTGCCGAGCGCAGATAGGATATCAACATTGGTTCTTCGTTGATGATGATGAGACTATTCCAGCATTGTCAATTATGAGCTTTTGCTGTGCTCTTATTTGGTGAAACTTGTGATGCAATTCTGCTATTGGTTCAAGGTCACGACTATCTGGTCTCATGTGTATGATGCTGTTTGATTTCTGAAGTTCACTATTGCTCATCTTCCTTGCAATTTGGTTTCGGAGCGGTGGTACGGTGCGCTAGTCTGGCGCTTGTCTTCTGCCTGATGCGGTACATGCATGCGGTGTGTGCGGTGAGCGACCGTGCCGTGGGACGTGTGTAGTGAGGAGGGCGAAGGCAAGATTAGGCGACCCAGGTCGAGAGGGGATCTCCAGGAAGGCTATGCGGTGATTACTGGGTGTTCGCAGTGTGATGAGAACTATCCGATGTGTGATTGATGCTGAGGTGGAACGGCGGTGCAATGCTGGTTGTGCCGAAGCAGCGACTGGTCATCACAATCAACATTGGGTCATCTGGTGAGAATATCTGTGGTTGGGGGCAGCTATTTTGAGGTACGTTGCACCTAACCTTTTCTACCCTCTTCGACGCTTCTTACCGTGAGGATGTGTGTTCTTTCTTGTGAGTCCTCTCATGTGAGGAGTCGTTTGCGCTCAACCTTGAGAGTCGTCAGTATTCACGTGGAGCATCTGGAAGGAGAGGGCGGTGCTATCTGAAGGGCCCTGGACGAAGCAATTGGTCACGGTCACCATGCCAACCCACCGGGAGTAGAGCACGCATGCTTTGCTGCTTCGTCCTTTGTCTACTCGCTGCGCTATAGAGGGGTTCTGAGGGGCAGGCCAGCCCTATGGGAAAGACGAGACCGGACATCTATAAATAAATACCAGCGGGGACCTTCCATTGGCTGTGATCGTCGTCCTGTTTGCGACGTTAAATAATTCCTGAGGACTTCGGGGGCCGTCCATAAAAACGCCTCCTGATCAGCCAATTGGTCGGTGACTGTGCAGGGCTGGCCAGCTCAGGAGGACTCGGGGCACAGGGGTGGGTCGTGTGCACACCTTTAGACACGCACGCTATCCGGATTGCTCAGGGACGTTGACGACAAGAGACATTCAGGAAGAACTGAGGGAGGGGTAGATTCTAGGTGATAAGTTTGGGCAAGATTCCATTCTGCAAACAGACCCAACAAATGATTCTATTTTTATTTTTAATTAGTTAGATGTACAACCATTAACATCTGACAGACAGCATAGTTAGAACTGTTATCTGTTCATTGCGCTTTCTGTTTGCGGACTAGTCAAAGTAAAATAGTCTTCATTTGTAGGAATCTGAACTTAACTGTTGGACCCAAATCCATCTACTCTGACGCAGTCACCGATTAATTATTTTAATTATTATAAATCGGTCTGTGCACTACGCTGCGGTAGGCATCAAAGAGTGACCTAGTGCAGATTGTGCACAACTCTTTAGCTTATGAGCGATAGGGACACCACTAGTGAGGACGACCGGATCTTGCGATCCGCCAGACGCCCGATTGCCCACATGGCATTAGGACCCGAGGGTGATATAGGTTACTGTTCCGCCAGCTTAGGGAAAGACAGCAGCAGCAGCGGAGAGCTAGGGCAGCCGAGGCCAGCAGAGCATTCGCAAGTGAAGCCGCAGCTTCAGCAGCCATGGCAACTGCTGCGCAGCAGAGTTCACAGGCCAGCAGTTCAGGGGCCGTAGGGTCAACGGTCGCGCAGACCTTGAGTCAGTCCACTGGCGTCATGGAAAGCCAACCAATAGTGTTGACTTCTGATGAGATCGCCATACAGCAGGCAGCACTGCAGGAGGCACAACTACAGAAGGCTCTAGAAGAGATTAAGGCAGAAAAAGGAGAGAATGATTAAAAGAAGAGTCAAGATGTAGCGGAGATAAGCGAACATTAGCGAGTTAGAGGAGATGGAACCAGCAGAGTTGGATGATGATGTGAGGACCCTAAGGGCGGTCTTGCTAGGTGTAGTAGAGATGCAAGATCACCAAACGGCGATCTTACAGGACATCCAGCAGAGTCTGGCCGTGTTGGTCGGGCGAGCGCAGGCGGCGCCATCACTGTCCGGGCCCGGTGTCTGGCCCATTGTAAATCCTCCTCCTTTTGTCCCACCGATGACTGGGGTATCCTCATATGTCTCCCCACCATCGGTCCAAACCGTTTCCCTGGGTGTGTCGTTAGCAGAAGGGTTCTCAGCAGGTCCTAGTGTACAGATTCCTGTACAGACAGTGTTTTCCCAACCTCCGTCGCAAGTTGCCGTAAGCGAGCAGCCTTCTGTCTCACAGCCTGCACAGTCGCAAGGTACACAGCCCCAGCAGCAGATTGCGCAGCAGCCTGCTCCTCAGGATCCACAGCCCGGAATGGTGCAGGTACCGGGACAAAGTCAGTGGGTTCCGAAGACGGCCATCGCCGCTCCTAAACCCTTTACAGGGGACAAGAGGAGCGAAGATCTCGACACTTGGTTGAGGTCAGTGCCAGTCTACGTCGAAGTGATTGTGGCTGCCTCCTATCTAGAGGGGAGTGCAGCAACATGGTTGAGTGGTTTGGTGCAGTTGCAGGGATACGGTCACTTCCGCGCTTGGGCAGTCAACCAGAAATTGGACGACTTCCTCAAGATGGTGGAAGACAGGTGGCATGATCCTCAGGAGGCTCAAAAGGTCACTGATGCAATCCTGACTCATAACAGGCAGTTTAAGTCAGTAAGAGAGGCCACAGACGCAGTAGAGCGTCTGATCTGTATCCTTGGGGTGCGCTATGACCCCCAGGTTCTACTCACCTCCTACCTGAGATGCATTCCCAGGCCTCTCATGAATCAACTGGCAGGTGAGGCCAACATCAACATGCACAACTTCCTGTCGTTTAGCAAGAAGGCCCTAGACCTTGAAGTAAAGATAGGGCATGGTCAAACACCCACGACGGATGGTAGGAAGAAGCCACTGCCTCCCAACTGGAGGGCGAAGGGACGCATCATGTTCGTCGATGGATCTACCATCGAGTTGGATGACGACTTCCAGGCGGGAGTGGGTTCAGAGGCAGGCAACGTAGAGGCTTCAGGGGGTGGAGTAGTCGCTGCCTCAGTACAAAAAAGGTAAGGCGACCGGTAGACGCCGTAGAGGTTCTCGGTCTAGGAGTCAAGTAGAACCCAATGCTCCTCCATGGGAGAAAGCGGGTCTAAGTGAGGACGTGTGGAGAGATCGGTACACACGCCAGGCTTGTATCCGTTGTGGCCAATAAGGCCATAACCAATTCAAGTGGCGAAACAAGAAGGTGACCGAAAAGATCCTGCCCACGATGGGCAGGCGTTGGGATCCTCCGCTCCCGTTGGTAGCAACGTGGCCAGCAGTTCTGGCACTACTCCGAAAAGCGCGTCGGGCCAGTAGGAATAGCAGTTGTTCCTGCTAGGGTCGAGGTGGTGGACACACCCTCACCATCTCGAGAGATGGCCCAAGCTACTGACTCCGTTGTGGTCCCGCAAACACATTCAGACCCATCGAGCCTTTATTCGATGAATGTGTTCGAGTCCTTAGAGGAGCTAGTGGAGGAGTGGTCCAAATCAGACCCACTAGCTTCTTGGACGGCATTGGCAAAAGCCCCTAGGAGTGAGATGTTCGCCGGCGAGGTAGTCATTGGCGGCCGCAAGGCCAAGGCCTATTATGACACTTGTTCGACGCGGAACTTTATCAGTTGTGCGTGCGTTGAGAGACTGCGCTTACAGGGGCAAGTGCAGCGCCTAAGTCGACCTGTGGAATCGACCTGTGCCAACAAACAGCGCATGGTAGTTCACGACTACCTTCAGAATGTTGAGTGTTGTTTCCCGTACGCAGGAGGGGAACTGAGACATCACGTCTCATTCCTAGTCAGCGATGATCTCTCAATGGACATCCTGTTGGGCCTGTACTATCTTTCGCTTGCACAACCCCAGTTTAACTGGGACCGAAAAGTGGTCAAACACACTTCGCCAGGTGGGGGGACCGCCAGATTACGTAAGTTCAAAGCTAGTAGTCTGATTGAGTCCTACGGATGCATGTGTGAGGCTGCGTTCTATAACTATTATAAACAAAATTCGGAGGAGGGTATGTATCTAGTTTGTCTCTGCAGCAGGCGAGCCGGTGAAAATGCCACCGGAGATAGAGGGAGCAGTCGCTTAGTACCCTGATCTATTTGAAGAGCCAACAGGGGTTGTTGAGAGGGAGGTCGTTCATGCAATAGAGATTATCCCAGGGTCTAGCATCCCGAAGGGTAGGATCTATCGGATGTCTCCAGGCGAGCTTGATGAGCTTCGCCGACAACTCAAGGAACTCGTAGAGAAGGGTTGGATCCGGCCGGGTGTTTCCCGTTACGGATCTCCGGTCTTATTTGTGTCGACGAAGGGGGGAACTCTGAGGATGTGCATTGACTATAGGGGCCTCAATGCCATCACTGTCAAGAACCGAGAGCCCCTACCGTGCATCGACGATTTGCTAGATAGAGTGCAAGGGTGACGGTACTTCAGTAAGATAGATTTGAAGTCCGGGTACCATCAGATTGCAATCCAGCCCGAGGATCAACACAAAACCGCATTCCAGACCAGGTACGGTCTGTACGAGTTCGTGGTGATGCCTTTCGGGCTTTGCAATGCTCCTGGCACCTTTCAGCACGCTATGAATCAGATCTTTCATGACTACTTGGATAAGTTTGTCATCGTGTACCTCGATGACATACTTATTTTTAGTAGGACTGTTGAGGAGCACGTTGCGCACTTTGATAAAGTCCTCAATCTCCTTCGGCAGCACAAGTTCAAGATCAATGGGGAGAAATGCAAGTTTGGTCGCACCCAGATCTTGTACTTGGGTCATGAGATTTCCATGGAGGGATTGAAACCCGATGACGCGAAGGTGGCCAGCATTCGTGACTGGCCGCGTCCTCAGTCTGTGACTGAGATGAGTTCTTTCGTAGGGATGACCGGCTGCTACCGTAACTTTGTAAAGAACTATAGCATAGTGGCCACTCCTTTGACTGACCTGCCCCGCCTTGACACCCCATGGGAGTGGACAGATAGGTGCGAGGTTGCTTTCAGACATCTGAAGCATGCGTTGACACATCATGAGGTCTTGAAACTTCCTGATCCTGACAAGCCGTTCATAGTAACCACGGATGCCAGCCAATATGGAATTGGTGTCGTGCTAGCGCAGCAGGAGGGGCCAAAGTTGAGGCCAGTGGAGTACATGTCCAAAAAGATGCCCTCTCAGAAGTTGGCTAAGTCCACCTATGAGAAGGAGTTGTACGCGATCTATAAAGTGCTAACCCATTGGAGGCATTATCTCCTTGGGAGCTGCGTAGCACACCAAATGTGTTTGGAAGTTTTTTGAACGTTCGAACACGTTCGGCCGTTCGCCCGAACGGCTTTTGGAGGCCTTCGAACACGTTCGCCCAGCGGGCGTTACTGGCCCTCCGAGGGTCTGGCGGGGTCCTTGGGGTCGTAGAGGGGGTGTTTGGGGGGCGGGGTTGGGCGGGCGGCCTGGCGGAAAGGGGCAGCCGGGTCCCCCATTCGAATTCGAACGAACAATCGGGCTGCCCCGAAGCTCGTCCTCGCGCAGCGTTCTCCAGCGGAGCATCGAACCCCCGGGTAGGTGTGCCTCCTCCTCCTCCTCCTCCTCCTCCTCCTCCT